CTAAGCTTTACTCAAACTCTTAAATATGAGTTTGATGTATAAAAACTGAATGAGTGTGACGATACCTAAGAAGATTAAATTTCAACCAAAATCACTTTTAATTCAAAAATCCATTTCATGTTTTATGTGAAAGCATCTCTAAAACTTTTTAGATTATACGTTTTGACGACACGTTTGGCTCAGTTTGTAGTGACCCTACTTGCTGTGCCAGCACGGGGTCGAGTCTCGCTGGGGGCGTTCATTTGTGTGATGAGCACGGATGTTTGTACTCCAGTCATGGGTGTTTATATTTATAACATGTTTGTATTTAAAGTTATATATTCGTTGTGTATCAACTATATGGTACCCATAACACAAGCCTCGTAGCTAACCATAGAACTAAATGATGCTGTGTATATACCCAACATATTTATTATCTGTCTGTATGTATCTTTTTTAGATAATCCCACAAAGTGAAAATAAAACAGAAAAAATTGAAAAGAAAAGGTTTTTCTAGTACTTTTTATTGAACATTCGAAAATACATACATACAGAAAAATAGCCATCATAAATTATTTTTCTGTTAATTTCCATCCATCTTCCTTCAGATGACCTTTATGTGTAATTTGTTGGATAATATATTCGACAGCTGTGAACCAATTTAACTATTCTTTTTCATCAAAAGGGCTATGCCTTTAAGGTGATTCAATTTAAAATTTACAGAAAAACATCCAAACTTTAGGGCCTAAAATTACTTTTAGATTGTTTCAAAGTCGCCCTATGTTTTGTATTAAAAAGTTATTTATAATATTGCTTTCATTTTCAACCAAAAAGGAGGAGCTTCTATATTATGCATTAATCATTATTCTATATTATGCAACAATGTATCAATCCCCTTAATTTCGACTTAAATTTGTTAAATCAGCATTTCTCACTTTTTGGTACTATAGATAGTACAAACAAATTAAATACAATTAATCAACTTTCACTTTTACCTACTCCTGATATTCCGTTTCTTTCATTTAGTCAATTTTCCATTAGTGATGTTAAGAGAAACGTTTTGACCATAAAATCTAACGCGGTGGGCGCGGACAGCATTAGTCGTAAAATGATTGTTCCTGTTCTTGACTTAATAGCTCCTACAATCACATCAATTTTAAATTCCTCCTTACTTTCCCATAAGTTTCCTACTGCCTGGAAAGATGGTCAAGTAATTCCCATTCCAAAAAATTCTAATCCATCTTCTTTTGCTGACTACCGTCCTATATCTATTCTCCCTTTCCTATCGAAAGTACTGGAGCGTCTTGTGCATCGACAGTTAAGCACGTTTCTTAATCATAATCTTTTAAACTCCTTTCAATCCGGTTTCCGCATCGGTCATAGTACGACTACTGCATTGGTCAAAATCGCTGATGATATTAGAGAGGGTATGGACAGTCAGAAGGTTACCGTGATGGTACTATTAGACTTCAGTAATGCCTTTAACACCGTTGATTTTGACATACTAATTGCCATATTAACTTCTCTTAACATATCTCCTGAGGTGATTGACTGGTTTCGTAGTTACTTGTGTGGCCGCCGGCAGCGTATACGAATTGAGGATTCCTTTTCTGATTGGAATACGATTAATGCCGGTGTCCCACAAGGTGGCGTGTTGTCTCCTCTCCTGTTTTCAATTTTTATTTATTCTATTTGCCATCAAATTTCTTCTCTCTACCACCTATATGCCGATGACCTACAAATTTACGCAACCACATCTCTATAAGACTTACCTCTTACAGTTAATTTAATTAATAATGATCTCGCCAGAATCTCTGCTTGGAGTAAATCATATGGCCTTGATATTAACCCTATTAAATCGCAAGCTATTATAATAGGCAGCCAGAAACTGCATTCAAAAATTATTCGGTCATTGATACCATCGGTGATGTTAAACGATGTTGAAATTCCTTTTCCCGAAACAGTAAAAAACCTAGGAATCATTTTTGACCAGCATTTATCCTGGGGGCCACAGGTAAGTGTACTGAGCCGCAAGATGTTTGGAGCTGTTTCCTCCCTTCGCAGGTTGAGAAATTTTCTGCCTATACCTACTAAAATTGCGCTGGCAAATTCACTTTTATTACCAATACTTGATTATGCTGATATTTGTTTTCTTGACCTTAAAGAGGAGCACCTGAATCGACTTAAGCGCCTTCAAAATCTTTGCATACGGTTCATATTCGGTCTCCGTAAATATGACCACGTTTCTCACTTTCGCAAAAAGCTCAAGTGGCTCCCAATCCGCTTTCGCAGGAATACTCACATACTTCATCTCCTCTACTGCGTGCTGTTTAATCCTTCTACCCCTTCCTATCTCAAAGAGCGTTTCGAGCTTCTAAGGAATTCTCATACTCGTTCCCTGCGTTCTAGTGAAACGCTTATCCTCAAAATTCCTTCTCACTCCTCTTGTTTTCTTACCAACTCCTTTTCTGTGAAAGCTGCACGTCTATGGAACTCTTTACCAGTACAGATCAGACGGGCTGATAATTTGGACAAGTTTAAGACGATGTTAAAAACGCATTATTTATCTCTTTAGTTTGTCTTACTATAATATATTATGTACAATATATTTGATATTATATGTATATTATATGTATTTATTTGAAATACGTAACTTAAATAAACATACTGATTATATTTTTCTATTACACTGTTTGTATGCATATATGTTTGTATGTATGTATGTATTTATGTATGTATGTATGTATATATGTATGTGTATAAGTATGTATTTATACAAGTACACCGCCTACCATTTTTATATACTGATTCCTCTACCCTAAGGTTGCCTGGAAGAGATCGCTTCTAGCGATAAGGCCGCCTGCTGTGCATCTTTTTATTGTTATGTATTTCACTTCTTTATTTATTTTCTTGTGTGGTGTGCAATAAAGTGTTCATTATTATTATTATTATTATTATTATGCATATATTTTTTTTGTATATTTTTTTTATTTTTAAGTCTCTAGAAGCATTAAGTTTTTTTTAATTCGATTTTTTTAATTATATAATTTTTCATTTTATTCATAAAATATACATTTTTTTCAATCAGTTCAGTAATTATATTATATACAAATCAAATGCAAGAATGTTAGCAAAAAGCAAGTTTGATATAAATAAATAAAAGACGATTGGCTGTTAAACCTACACCGGATTTCGCTCTTCGAGTTAAACCTCTGCAGTAATTACTCCTAAATGAGATTTCGGAATAAGATTAATATATTGAATCTACGAAAGTACCTAATAAGGATGTCGTTTCAAAATGAAATTAATTTCCAAGCAGTTTAAGATCATTTCACAGTGGCAGTGTATATTTTATTACTGTTAACAATGACTATAATCTTCACTTCTATTTCCATAGTAAATCCCACTATCTATACATATAATAAAATTCTAACTAAGTAGAATTTGTACATTAAATATTTTTTGGAAAGTCAATATTATCGATACAGAGGCCGAATCTATAGTTTTCAGTTTGTCTGTCTTGTCTATCTGTATATAAATAGACAGACAAAACAGATTAGCGCCTTCTTCTACTCTCTTTGTCAAGTGATTCTCTTTTTTCTCTTTTTGTTCAGTAGCTATTGGCTAGTGTAATGTACCCGGAGATAAACCCGAGTGAAGTGGCGGTAAGTCACTATTTTAAAACTACAATTAAAATATTTATTTATTTAAATAATGTTTAAAATCTATTGATATTATTCTTTATGTTAAAACAAAACTGTGTAGAATTCAACTATCCATACTAACGTTATGAATGCGAAAGTAACTCTGTCTGTCTGTGTTACCTTTACACGCTTAATCCGCTGAACCAATTTAGATGAAATTTAGTATGAAGATAGTTTGAGACCCTGGGAAGAACGTAGGATAGTTTTATACCGGATATCATCCTTTAAAAAAAAAGAAAAGGGTATGGAAATTTGAAATGAACTGAAACTTTATTCAAATACACAAAACAATACCTATTACAAGCATTTTTTAGTTACATGGGGAATCAATCATTTCTCAAATATGGGATATAAAACTCATCTTGCCTGTATATATAACCATGTACCATGTATATATAACAATATATTATAATCTAACTAATACATGCTAAGTGTTAAAACGTAACTAGAAACTAACCCGGGCGAAGCAAGGGTTAGTCCCTAGTTAATATATAAAAGCTTTTGGTAGATCTTTTTAAAAATTCGGAAATGAGCGTCCTAAGTTAATTTTCTCTTCTAAATTATTCCTTTTTGTGGATATAAGTATATTTAACTTGACATTTTTTTAATTTAAATTAGTTTTTTTGTTACTTTTATCTTATACTCGTATTACAAAGTTTTCTATATTATCATGTTTTTATTTGCCCTTATTTTTTAACTTTATCTTTATTTATTTTATTTTATCAACTTATCACTTTCCATAGGAATTCAGTTTAATTTATTAAATATTTATACATTTAAATAATATATGTTAGAGTTGATATTTAATACACAATTTTGAGGGTAGTTAAAAGACGGTACTTGACAATTGCGTTTGATATACATATTTGATAGACAATAAATAATGAGAGTCAAAAGTGCGAGTGAACTCACTTTACTGTGAACACTCGACTGTACCGCACGAGTATACTGACCATGGTGGACGAGAATCGATAATATAATATTAAATCCATCGACATCCGTAACATATATATTATTATATTTGTGTTGAAAATTGGTCAAACGTACAACTAACATCATACATTATGAGTTTTTTAAGGAATGCCTACACTAAAAAATCTTATTACTATAACGTTCAGTAGTTCCAGATTCAGTTAAGTGGCAAACACTATTTTTCATATAACAATTTGTACACTATAGTGTTGTGACAAGTTTAGAAAAAATCTTTTTGGGCCTCATTGTACAAATAAATAAAAAAATCAAAATATAAAACATCACACACCTATTCAAAATCATTGCGATCTGCAAATAACTCAATAAGAAAAGTCTTGTACTTACTGATCCATTTTCGTTGCTAGAGAGCATGGGTACCATGACGGTTTCAACGGCGGCTACGGCTAGCAATGGTGCAAATATAGCCAAAGACACGAGCCATAACGCGGCAAGTAGGCTGCACGCTCCTCGCCGTGACGGCATCCAAGGCTGACGAAGTGATTGCGTGATAGCCAGGTACCTGTCCACCGACATCGCCGTGATTGTAAACACGCTCGATGCTACTGCGACACCTGGGAAAGAAATCTGTATTATAAGAAATGCAATATATTATGTACATACATCTATACTAATATTATAAAGAGGTAAAGTTTGTGAGTTTCTGAGATTGTGAGTTTGTGACGTTGTAGGGGGTAATCTCTAGATCTATTGAACCGATTTAGATGAAATTTGGTAAGAAATAGTTTGAGACCCTGAGAATGACAAAGAATACTATTTATCTCGGAAATCATTCCTTAAGGGGCTGAAAATGGGGATGAAAGTTTGTATTGGGAAGCAAGCTAGGGATGAACCCGAGCTAAGCGAAGTTGAGTCGATAGTATGTTATACACTAGCAACCGTAGATGCCAAATAGCAATAGCAACCTGAAAAGCACACAGTGTGTTCCAGGTATTTGTGTACTAAATTTTATCCAAATACGTTCACTCAAATTGTGTACACACACAGACAAACATACAATCGTACAATCTTTCACATTTGTAATACCAGTACATAGTAGATTAAATTTTTAAATATATTATATATCAGTGACGTTTCGAGGTATTGGAAACTATATTAGATGCTACATGCGAGTTGCCGATTGAATTTCGCTGGAACTGTTATTATATTCTATTTCGAAATTAATTTTGGAGAATTCTATTATGAAATATTCACTTTAAAAGTTATTCGGTATAGATATGTATAGCTACGAGTATATTTATCTTACACGTATATATTTGTTGCCTGCAGTTCCGCTCATAGGTAAGCAACGTGAGGATATAAGTCTATATTATTATATATATTTTCAATATTAGTATCGATCATATTCTGAAAACACTCACTTCTAAGAATTTTTCTATTAAAAAGAGCGCCATCATATCCTTGAGAAGTATTTACTAATTAATATCGTGATAATATTGTGCCCAGTGGTAGCGTGCTTGCTTGGTAAATCAAGTTATATGAGTTCAAACTTTAGATATTGCAATTCTGATATTTTCATGTGTGAATCATTTTCAACAGACCAATGGACCAATCATCTTGAGGAAAGCTGGATGTCTTAGATAACCTAACTTTTTTGACAGAAAACATCTCAAGTCCATTAACGCATTTGACCATCTTGGTGGACTATAGTCTGACACTGTTGCAATAGGGCCCGTGCCCAGAAGTGGAATGTTTAAAAATGTGTAAAATAAAAACTTTTTAACAAAAAAATAAAAACCGACTTCAAACAAAAGCACTAAAAAGTAAAAAATAACTGATTGGTAGTTTTCATTTACTATACATACCTAATCAAATATTTTCGAAGTCGGTGTGCTTTGCTTTGTATGGGCTGGCACCGATTTCGAAAATATTTCATTAGGTATGTATTTAATAGGTAGGCTTTAATTACTTAGCCAAAGCACACCGACTTCGAAAATATTTGATTAGGTATGTATAGTAAATGAAAACTACCAATCAGTTATTTTTTACTTTTTAGTGCTTTTGTTTGAAGTCGGTTTTTATTTTTATGTTAAAAAGTTTTTATTTTTCCCTTTTTAGTGTAGACAGTAATAGCATAGTAAGGATTCTAACGTGTTAGGCTTGTCAAATCAAACAAAATAAGCCCAAACTCAAAGTATCTACTATTAGCCGTTGAAGAGTTCCACCTATACCCAGTACCCACCTTCTGGCCTTGCCATCAGATCAGGTCAATAACACCAAACCACTGTACTATCAACGGAAATAGAAATACTTGCAAAGTTTCAAGTCAATATGACAATTAGAAGTAGGTTAAATTCATCATTAGTTGTTTTTCCACCCTTAGGGGTGGTATTTTTTTTTTGAAATTTAAATGGGACCAATCTGGAAGTATACCCTTTCAAACAAAACAAAAATTGTCCATATCGGTTAATAAATGACGGAGTTCTGAGGTAACAAACATAAAAAAAAAAAAAACAACATACAGTCGAATTGAGAACCTCCTCCTTTTTGAAGTCGGTTGAAAATATATAATTATTTAAAACTAAATATCCATAAGCTTTATTTCAAAGTAATAGAAAATTTATGTACTTAATTAAATTATGTAGTAAAAAAATATCTTTATTATATATTAATTAATTAATATATAATTTAATTTTAATATATTATAAGTGTCAATGCGCTTAACATAATAGGTATGCGTTGATGACTGAAACTTCTGAAGTATAAAGTTAGACTTTCATCACATTTGTATATAAGACACTTAAAGTGTAACTTAGTTAATTAAAATCTTAGCTTATTAAAGTTTACTCACTTTTAGTAGTAATAGAATAAAATTTTAAGTTTCTGACTTTTACGCAAGATTTCAAACTAAATATCGTAACGTAAATCAGATATCTAGTTTTAATTACAAATACTGAAGTAAATTTTAAAGTATAGGGGTATGTATGTACGTACGTATGTATGTATGTATGTATGTATGTATGTATGTATGTATGTATGTATGTATGTATGTATGTATGTATGTATGTATGTATGTATGTATGTATGTATGTATGTATGAATGTATGTATGTATGTATGTATGTATGTATAGATGTATGTATGTATGTATGTATGAATGTATGTATGTATGTATGTATGTATAGATGTATGTATGTATGTATGTGTATAGGTGTATAGCCCTTTTTAATGTCCCACTGCTGGGCACGGACCTCCCTTCAATACGAGGGAGATCAGGCCATAGTCCACCACGCTGGCCAAGTGCGGGTTAGCGAACTTTATATGTCTTTTTAAAACTTGTCAAGTTCACTCAAACATACAGGTTTCATAATGATGTTTTCCTTCATCGTAAGTGGTAATTATGTTGAAATTATTTCGCATATGAAAATATCAAAGATGCGAGACACGAAATTTAAACCCGCTTCACTCGGTTTCCCAAGCGAGTGTATTACCACTGGGCTACCACTGCCTGATATATAACTAATAAATTATACAAGTTAAAACATAAAACAATATTTAATGGTACGGAACCCTCGATGCGTCAGTCAGACTCGCACTTGCCTAATTTTTTAAGTATCACGTGGATCCTATAAGATGTATGTATATTGCAAAAATATAAAAGACACTAATGGACTCGTATGATATAGTGTCTTGGAAAAGTTAGGGTTGGTCATTAGATGTAACAATACAGTTAGGGAAAATTTGCTCCACACCTGTTTAATGCAAACAAATTAGAGCTTATATGCTTACAATATTAGTGGATACGACTGAGTTGTTGGAACATTTTATGGTGATATATTACATATCTATACTAATATTATAAATGTAAAAGTAACTCTGTCTGTTTGTTTGTTAGGTTTTAGCACCTAAACCGCTGAACTTATTTTGATGAATTTTACTATAGAGATAGATGGAACCTTGAGAAGGACATAGGTAGACTATTTGTCGCGAAAATTTTCTTGAAGTGGTTGTATTTTAACAAATCGTTTCTTAGCGCTACTATAGCCATATAGCCTACGTTATCGCTAAGCCCATGCTAATAACTTTCTTTGATATATGGCTAGCATATACGATTAACGACTTGAATTCAAGTCCCGGATCAGGTTAATTTTTTTTTTTTTTAAGTTTTGTTTATAAGAAATATTTAGCAACCTGGTGTTGGGATTTTGGGTATCGGAGTACCATATCACTAGGCATTTTTCTTCCACCGTACTATGAAGCAGTCCCATGCCCAGCTGTGGGACGTTGAAGGGCCTGAATTATAAAAGACAAAAAATAAAGTTACGTGAAAAACATTTAAATAAACTCATATTGTAAATGATAATAAAATTTTATCATTAATTCAGTCTTTAAAGACCCTTTTAAACTAATTACTATGGGAGTAAAACCACAACTAAATAATGTAAATGGTATCCCAACCACAAATTTTAATTAAAACTAAAATATAAAGTAACATTTGAGATCATTCTCACGGTTCATAGAATTCCAACCACTCCTAGTATATTTATTTATTTATTTTTACGCGAGCAGCGAAAAATATTATATAATTTTCTCTTTAAAGAGTGGAACTAATGGATGGGACATGAAAGAAAAGTACTTAAATATGGAAGTTATTAAGTTTTACTGAAAGGAAATATTGCACACAAATTTTTATTACATATTATACGTATATAAACATATTTTTATTTTATAGAAAAACTAGCGACTCTCCCTCGCTTCGCTCGGGTTCATCCCTAGGTACGTTTTAAATTAAAATGGATATAGTATGTTATCCTTAAGAGATAGACACATGCCATCGCGGACTTTTCTGTAGACATATGTAAGATACACAATTCCACCATACATTATTTTGTTATATCTCCCAGACGTCTTATTTTTTCCGACACCTCCAACAAATATCGTTATATTTTAGCCAATGTTAACAAAAACTTTACAAATTATATAATAAAACCTTCTTCTTGAATCACTCTATCTATTAAAAAAACCGCCTCAAAATCCGTTGCATAGTTTTAAAGATTTAAGCATACATAGGGATATAGGGACAGAGAATGCGACTTTGTTTTATACTATGTAGTGATAGTAAAAAGTGCATTGATTTTATAAAAAAAAAAGCTTACCTGAGCAAGTATTCGAACAAAATAAAAATATAATAAAATACATCATCGCTATTTTATAAACTATCCGATAGAGAGAGATAACTTCAACTTTAATAAAGGGATCAAAACCTTAATTTGTACATGTCTAATGACTATGGGACTTACATGAAAATGTTAAATGTTCCGGAAATTAATTTAATGATTTATTTCAAAAAGGTTAAATTGAACCTTAAATAAATTATACATTGGCAAGGTATAATTTATAAGTAAGTTTTTAAAGTGGTAAATATAAAAGCCATACGGTAATATACATCACGGGAATTTGAAAGCTTGAAATATTTTGACTTAATTATATGCATACATTATTAAACTTAGTTGTAGAGCTTAGTTATCCCGTAGCTGTGTGGATATCGGCTATAAATTTAGCGAAATCGACGTTCACGTTTCACGCAAAAAGTACTGAACTGATTTTAACTAAATTGTGTATATTGATAACTTATTACTCGGGTCAACTTTTAGGATAAATTTTACTGCAAGAAAATCTTTCAGTCCCACGAAAAAAAAACAAAATAATTGGTCTATCGAGCAGTTCTTAGGTGTCTAATACTGGCTAAACCTTAAGAGATAGATCAAAACAATGATCTAGAAAATTGTAGGTCTTATTAAGACCTACTACAAAAAATTACTCACTTAACTTACTCTATATAAGTGCTTCATTCTTTCTGTCCATTTCAGAGAAAAAATTGATCGGGCAGACAGACAAAAAAATTTATCACGTATAATATATTAATCCTGTAACCGTTCGCTTTTTAATCAGGAGTAAGAAACCTTCAAAATTACTAATATTTTATTCTAAGCAAGATGAATAAACCTACTAAAATTAATTTTATTGCAAGGAGACATGATATTTATTCATTTTTCGAATTTTAATAGATATTAAATAAGAATTTAGCTAATATTAATATAATATTATATTAATCATTCATTTCTACAGAAATCAAATCCATGGCTGTTTTCTGTCTTTGCATCTTATTAGTATAATAAATGCGAAAGTTTATGTGGACGTATGTATGTATGTATGTATGTACATATGTATGTATGTATTTATGTTTGTATATTATTTTGTTTAATTTTGTTACCTACTCCTTAACGCTGAAACTAGACAGCTTTGGATGAAAAGTACACATATAAACTTAGGCCTGGAGCAAAGTTAGCTGCTGTTAGTAATCAATTTTTCCAAAAGGTGGCATTGTTCGTTTGCCAAAAGGTTAAAAACATATTGATATATTATGAAGAAAATCCGATGTTTTACTGTTCCAAAAGGCAACCGAGCGATGCCTTTTGAAACAGTAAATAGAAGTATAATTTACGACGAAAAATCTTACCTTGTAAAAAGTTTACAGTTTTACACATGACTTCACCGAAGTACCACAGTATAGTGACCGACTTCGCAATCTGCACAGGCATGCAGAAGAGTGTCACTAATAGGTCTGCCACGGAGAGGTTCACAAGGAATATGTTTGTGACACTGAAACAAAAAAAGCAAGTTTAAATTTTAATATAACTTACATTATAGTATAATTATAATATGATATTCACTGAAAAGGGTTTTCTTTTTGGGCAAATAACTGATTTGGTGCAGATCAAGAAACGCTTTGTTCTAATACCAAATGTGGAACCAAAAAAAATATGCATATATTCAGAATGAATATGGGTATATTAAAAATCATCTAAGATCAGATTAGATTACAGTTCCAAAGCATTATAAGAGTAAAGAAATAGTGTGTTTACTTAACCAAAAAACTGACTGACTTAAACATTTGTGGGGGTTTGGTAGTGTGTTGTTGTTGAGTTGGCGAGAACTTAATAAAAGTCTATGTATAATTCACAGCCTTTAATACACTATTTTTTACACCCACAAAAGATAGAAGGAGAAAGAGCAAAGCGGAAAGATAGTTTATACAGTTTACACGGTAGAAAGCACAAAGATAGTAGAAATAATATACATAAAACTACGAAGCTTATATGATTAAGTACGTAAGCTTGGAATGGCGAGTAAGCGAGCGGTACGTGTCTCTTGTCTAGCGTGCGGATTGCGACTGACTGGAGTAAGGAGTTGAAACTTTTTAACTTTTAATTAACTTGAAAAGATCGTAGATGCTAATGCGCGGGCGCCGCTAATGGTAAACACCGAGGTGCGGTGCGCGGGAGGAAAGATGACATTGCGTCACCTCGATCAGCTGTCCGCGAGGCTCAAGTTCAAGGCTCAAGTTCTATGCGTATTATTTTTTTTTTTTTTTATTATGTAGGGTGTGTGTAAGGTGTGTGAATTTATTTAATGTTTTATGATGAATGTAAGTCAGCCACATCACTCCCCTCCAGAGACCGTTCACGGGCGAAAGTAGTCTGGAAATCTAACTTTACGACCCGATCGAGTAGTTTTTAAAATTGGAGTGATGGTAACATTTTTATCATCGAAAGATTTAGGTGTAATGTTTTGGTCTGACAGTATGTAGGCTGGTTTTATACGGTCTATCGATACTGTGACATCTTTACCTTTTATACGGATTTTAAAAACTTTCGAATCTCTTTCGATTACTTCATGCGGGCCAGTATATGCTGCTTGAAGTGCACCTCGAAGAGAATCTTCGCGTAAAAATACGTGTGAACATGATGAGAGGTCTTTGTATATAAAAATTTTATTATTATGTGTGTGATGTCTAACAGGGACTGGTTTTAAGTCATTGGCAAATGATCTGATACGGGAAGAAAAATCTGTTATATCAGTTGTATACTTGTTAATGCTCTGATCAAAGAAATCGCCTGGAAGACGTAAAGGTTCTCCATAAACGAGCTCTGCTGAGGAACATTGTAAGTCCTCCTTGAAGGAACTTCGTATTCCAAGGAGTATAAATGGTAGCGATTCCGACCATCTACAATCAGCATGGCACATTATTGCTGCTTTTAATTGTCTATGGAATCGCTCGACTAGACCATTGCACTGAGGATGGTAAGCAGTTGTTTTACGATGTCGGAAGCCAATAGACTTCGAAAGATGCTGAAATAGCGTAGACTCAAACTGCCTACCACGATCAGTGACAATGTCTGTAGGGCAACCATAACGTGCAACCCATTCGGATAAAAATGCTTTGGCTACAGACTCCGCCGTAATATCGGTAAGAGGTACAGCTTCGGCCCATCGTGTAAAACGATCGACGGCTGTTAAGCAGTACCGATACTCGGCAGATGGAGGTAATGGTCCGATGAGGTCTAGATGCACATATTTGAAACGCGCCTTCGGTATATCGTGCGTGCCCAGAGGAGACGACACGTGTCGATTCACCTTCGCGCGTTGGCAATCCAAACATGCCCTAGCCCACTCGCGACACTGCTTCCTCATCTGCGGCCATACGTAGCGTTGTGCTACGAGTTTAGCACTAGCATTAGCGCCGGGATGGCTTAATGAATGCAGGCTATTAAAAACTTGTTTGCGTAATGATTGAGGTATGAAAGGCCTAGGTGTCGTTGTACTGACATCGCAGTACAGATAAGTGCGACTACCTGGGATTGTCATCCTTTCAATACGCAGAGAAGAATCTTCTTTTAGGTATTTATTAAGTTCGCTATCAGAGTTTTGAGCCTGAGCTAGCACTTTGAAATCTACAGGGATCTGTAACTCTTCGATGCGTGATAATGTATCTGCGACTACGTTGTCCTTGCCAGAAATGTGACGTATATCTGTAGAAAATTGAGATATGTAGTCCAGATATCTATATTGACGCGGCGAGCAATTATTCTTACGCTCACTAAATGCATAACATAAGGGTTTGTGGTCAGTATAAATAGTAAAGCTTGTTGTCTCTAGCCAATGTCTAAAGTATTTAATACTCTCGTAAATTGCTAGAAGTTCTCTATCGTAGGGCGAGTATTTCCTTTGCGATGGACTCAACTTACGAGAAAAGTAAGCTAGAGGTTGCCAGTTACCATCCTTTAACTGCTGCAAAACGCTACCAATGGCGAAATCTGAAGCGTCAGTTACAAGGCTTAGTTTTGAGTCAGGATCAGGGTGTGCTAACATAGCTGCATTGCACAAACTGTCTTTACATTTCTCGAATGCTTTCAACGAATCTCCACATATGTCTACAGTCTGAGAGGCTTTCACGGAACCAATTAAGAGGGCATTTAAAGGGGCTTGGATATGAGCTGCTTGAGGTATAAACCTCCTATAGAAATTAACCATACCCAAAAATCTCCTAAGCTGCTTAGCCGTCTTAGGTACGGGGTAATTTTTTATTGCCTCTACTTTACTCTCCAAAGGTTTAGTGCCGGCTTGTGAAATATGGTAGCCTAGAAAAGTGACTTCTGTTACTCCAAATTGACACTTAGAGGTATTTATTAAAATGCCATAGTCTCTTAACCTCGTGAAGAGTTGACATAGATGGTCCTGATGTTGTGACTCATCCTTCGAAAATACTAATATGTCATCGAGATACGGGTAACAAAAATCTAAACCACGTGTCACTTCATCTATAAACCTTTGGAAGGTCTGAGCGGCGTTCCGTAGACCAAAAGTCATATATGGAAATTCGAAGAGTCCGAACGGTGTAGTTATAGCAGTTTTTGGAATATCCTGCTCAAAAACTGGTAACTGGTTATATGCTTTAACTAAGTCAACCGTAGAAAATATGTTACATCCAGAAAGGCTATGAGCAAAGTCCTGGATATGCCTAATGGGATATTTGTCAGGAATTGTCCTAGCATTTAGCATCCTGTAGTCACCACAAGGACGCCAGCTATTGTCCTTTTTGGGGGCTAGATGAAGCGGTGAGGACCAGGAGCTTTCTGAAGGTCGAGCTGTGCCATTAGCCAACATGGCTTCAAACTCAGCCTTAGCTATCCTTAGCTTATCTGGAGCGAGACGTCTTGGTGAACAAGCTACTGGTGGGCCTGGTGTGGTGCGAATGTGGTGTGTAATGTTGTGTTTTATGATGCGTACTGGGCCAGCTGGTCGAGTGATCTCAGAAAATTCGGAAAGTATATTATTATATTTATTATCACAAGTCATGATCTTAACGCTAGACACTAGGCTATCTACACTACTAGAAATCATGGCTACAGTACACAAATTAGTTGTATTATCTATTAAGCGTTTATTGCGAATATCTACAACTAAATTAAAATAAGATAAAAAATCTACGCCAATAATTGCTTTAGATACATCTGCAACTACAAAACGCCACATAAATTCTCTACGTAAGCCTAAATTTAAAATAAGTTGTACATAACCATACGTGTTGATCATAGTACCATTTGCTGCACACAACTGGTAATCCGTTTTTGCACGTCGTTGTTGAATCGCGTCATGAGGAAAAACACTCACATCACTTCCTGTATCGATTAAAAATTGCACTTTCGAACTGCGATCTGTCACAAACAGGCGACCAGTATTAGAAGACGGAGGGCAATCGTCAGCCGCCATCACCGACTGCCCGTCTCGTTTCCCGACTTATAATCACATGGTAAGGTACATCTAGTCGCTTTATTGCCGAATTTGTAGTGATACCAGCATATGGGAAACTTCCTAAAGTTGGAATGTGATCTTCTAGAATTGGAATGACTGCGCTGACGTGGCCTTTGTCTATGCCGTGGACGCGCACGATCGAAGTTCTGGGTAGTCAGTTCACTCATTTGCTTCGTCAATGCCGTTATTTGACGCGCCATGACATCCATCGCCGATTCTAACCTTGAAATAGATGCTACTGCCAATTGAGGCTGGCTAGGTGCTATATCATGTACCCTGTCCGCTAATTCGGCTAAATCTTGAAGAGCCATATTAGGTTGAGAAGCGATAATAGTCTGTAAATTATTTGGTAAACGACTAGTCCACACATCCATAATAAAATCGTCAGGCATATTCGGTCCTGCTAATTGTTGTAAGTGTCGCAAAAATTGAGAAGGTTTGCGATCTCCTAATTCCTCAGATTGTAATAATTGTTTCACCTTCTTTTGTCTCGATATAGAAACACGCTTAATAAGCTCTGATTTAAGCTTTTCGTACTTGCCAGTAGAGGGTGGATTTTCAATTATATCCTCGACCGTTGCAGAATATTGCCCGTCCAAATGCGCTAGAACGTAATAAAATTTAGTGTTGTCATCTGTTATCCGTGCTAAGTTAAATTGCGCTTCAATTTGTGCAAACCAAATCTTAGGTTTTTCTATCCAAAATGGCGGTATACGCACGCCGACACGAAATAACTCCGTCGAAAGATCTCGGTCCGTTGAAACGCGCTCACATTTCTTAACACGTTGGCGAACACTGTGGGGGTTTGGTAGTGTGTTGTTGTTGAGTTGGCGAACACGTGGACTTTTCGCAGAGGGTCCAGATTCTGCTGTAGCACTGTCGTCACTGCTCATTTTAATGTTCAATTGGGGTCACCACTGTGGGGGTTTGGTAGTGTGTTGTTGTT